ATGCCCGGGCTATAAGATCGAGAACTGTTGGTTCTTAATCAAACATTTACTTAATGCTGAACCCAATACCTTAATGCACCTATGTAAAAGTCTCTTCAGAAAAAAAGAAAGCAATTCATAACAAAATATATGTATATTAACGTAAGTTGGTTATTGCGAAATACAACGACGATTAAAAACAAATAAAACGGCTCACAGCTCCTCTCTCATCAAAGCAAAAACCGAGGACAATAAACGTGCATAGCAACTAAAAAATATACAACTCCAAACTAAAGTTATATACAAAGAAAACATATAATATTAAAGGCTAATTACCTTGAAGCCCACCAAACTTTTGATCACAGAGGGATGGCTGGTAGGACTTAATGTATAATCATTATCATCTCGTTGTAAACTTTCGATTTTTTTCTGAATGGGGAGGACCAATAAATGTTTTTAATTGTTATATTTCATTGTTACCAATTTACGGAAATATATATATATATATATATATATATATATATATATATATATATATATATATATATATATATTATTATTATTATTATTATTATTATTATTATTATTCAGGATATAAATATAGTAAATACCAAATACTTCATATAACACAGTGAATGGATCAGTTACAACAAATTTAGTATAGGGGAGTAAGGAAATTGAACACAGAATCGGCTGCGCTGGGGCTAGTCTCTCCTAACATCGCCAATTGTTTCAAAACCAAAACATTAATCTGAAAACTTGTCATGTTCTTAAAAAGCCTCTTCAGGTTGAGACTTTTATATGGATGTCATGACTGGCACAAAAAAAAAACGTTCAAAAATATCTTAACTGCCAACCGTATACGATCGCTTTCTAAGATCAGTGGTTCAAAACGTCTTTGAGCAATTGAATCCTGTGGGTCTTGGCAAAGACCATTCTTCTTTGAACATTGTAGGCTGGCGCTACAGAATCACTAAAAAAAAAGAACTGTACCAAATAACAGAAACCATATGACTCGAAAACTTTCAACAGCTAAAATGAATATCACATGGAACTCAAAGAGAAAATAATGACATCATCAAGATGTTGATGTTACACACTACTTCAAGCAAAAGGATAGGAAGGAAACTACCATTAATAGTCGAAAGAGCAATAACAACTACTGGACTTGAGAAATGTATTTTCCTGAAGAATTGTTTTAATAGAAAGATTTTTTTTACAAAAGTCAAATCAGACAAAAAAAAATGGAGTATAGCTACCCAGTCTTAACGTTCTAGCCTTGATAGAGTTCAAAAATATCTACGCGAACTTTTGAGTGATGAACTATGTCCAATAGTTTATTCTTTCGCACTTCTTGTGGAACTATTTTCTGCTTTCCGGTCAACTTTGGTCTTTAAGAATTTAAATGCAATGTTAATCATTATCTTCTGTCTTCTTGAATCCCGTTCTTTAATTGTCCTCTCTGCTTAATGATTTTTCTCAGATTCTTTCACTTTCAGTAATCCTTTGCGTGGGGTGAAATGATTAAAAACAAAAAAAGCCTCTACAATCCCTTCTTCGCAGATGAAACATTGCAAATCTATTGCTACTCTATCATTAATTATATGGCAAATGTTCAGACGAGTAACATTCCTTAGTTCCACCAGTTCATGCCTTTATAGGGAAAGGCCACACCATACCTACACAGTGTCAAATCATCCTTGTATTACTCTCTGTATCAGTTTACAATCATCGATAAATCTGAACAATTTTATTTTACATATATTATCTAATGTGTCATTCAAACATTGTTGTGGTGTCCTCCCTCTAATGAGTCTATTGTGGACTCTTCCACTCACTATGAAATTAGTAGGAAAGTAAGCCTCGGAGGAGCAGTCGACCAGATTGCTCATTTCTGTCGAAGTC